GCTTCCTAATTTAATAGAAACAATTCCACCACAAGTTACTATAATTTAGGATTGTACTAATTTGTTAACGCAACATTAACAAGTTCTGATAAGAGTAATGTTGCTAATCTTTCAATATAAAATGTGAATTACACATGTTTGAAATATTACACTACTATGTAGTGAGACTGAACATGTATGATATTAAGTTATCATTATTCTAATATCAGTCACTGAGTTAAATTCACAAACATAAGGTTATTATTTAATGGTTACCTCCATCTCTGACCTTGTATGACCTACATATAATCATTGTGTAGTGACTGTAATTATACATGATTCTCACCGTTCTCCTGGCATATAAATCTGCTCCTTGATTCAGACATGTCTTCACCATAGCAATACCCCCATACTGACATGCATAATGTAGTGGTGTCGAGTTTTTCTATACAATAAAAATAATAGTATTTCCTGATTACCTACAAATACATTTACTGTACAAGATTATAAAACCAAGTGTAGTGTAGTGGTAATGTAATTGGCATAACAAATTGGTTCATGTAGATTCTTCCCTACATTCTAAAAGTAAATTTAGTTCACTAACACTCATTGTATGATAGTTTACCTGTAAAGTAAACAATACATCACATACAAATACATTTGTGATATAGTGTGTATGGCAATAATATAACATTACATCATATTTTACCATGCCAAATACAATATGGTGTTCATAACAACCACATACTGTGACAAGACAATCACATAACAGAACATTATTACTACATTCTATTACCACACCACATAAAATGTGATATAAATAATTCATGGTAATTATGACATATGTACAGCATTCACATAGTGACGCATTATTACAACATGCTAACTACGACACTGTATGACAATAATAAAGTGGGATATATCATTGCAACCTAATCATTGACATTGGCAATCACATAACTTTGCATCATTACATTATGCTAATGAGTAAAGTCTATAAAATGATAAAACAGCATTGCAATTACAGTAGTGTACATCACACCATCAAATACTATCTTAATGACAATCACATCAAATGACATGTCAACATGCCAATTATGCAACTATGTGTATGACAATCGCATAACGTGGCGACCTGGCAATATGCCAATTATACCACGTGAAAACATGGCATCATGTCACATATACCACTATGTTTATGACAATCCCATAACATGACATCCTGGCAATATGCCAATTATACCACCAGAAAACATGGCAACAAGTCAAATATACCACTATGTTTATGACAATCACATAACGCGACATCCTGGCAATATGCCAATTTATACCACCAGAAAACAAGTCAAATATACCACTATGATTATGACAATCACATAACGCGACATCCTGGCAATATGCCAATTATACCACCAGAAAACAAGGC